CCGCTTCCCTCTTCTCCTTCGCCTTCTTCTTTCTCCGCAGCCTCTCTTTTCCACTTCACCTCCGTCTTCTCCTCCTCCCTGCTCTCTGCTTCCCATTGCACCATCGCCTTCTTCTTCCCCTCTGCAGTCTCCGCCTCCCACATCTCCGCCATCTTCTACTCCTCCGCGACCTCTGCTTCCCACTTTACCTCTTCTCCTCCTCCTCTGCTTCCCACTTCACTTCCTCCTTCTTCTCTGTTGCCTCTGCACTTCTCCTCCGCCATCTTTTTCTTCTCCGCGGCCTCTGCTTCCCACTTCACCTCCGCCTTCTCTTCCTCTGCGGCCTCTGATTCCTAATTTTCCCCTTCTTCTTCTTCTTCTTCTTCTTCTTCTTCTTCTTCTTCTTCTTCTTCTTCTTCTCTGCTGCCTCTTTTTCCCACTGTACCTCCCCATTCTTACCTTCCTCCGAAGCCTTTGCTTCCCCTTTATCCTCCGCCTCCTCCTTCTTCTTCTTCTTCTTCTTCTTCTCTGCTGCCTCTTTTTCCCACTGTACCTACCCATTCTCACCTTCCTCCCAAGCCTTTGCTTCCCATTTATCCTCCGCCTTCTTCTTCTTCTTTTTCTTCTTCTCCTCCTGCTCCTCTGCTGCCGCCTGCGCTTCCACTTCGCGTCCGCCGCGTCGGGCGCTGAGCTCCGCTCCGACAAGAGAAGAGAAGAGAAGAGAAGCGAAGGGCGGATCAGGCGGCGCTCGTTCGTGAAATCCGCGCGCTTCGCCGCGGAAGACACATTTTCAATTTGCGCGAGGGGTGGCGCGCCGACGGCCGCTTGCGCAGCTGCAGCGCCGCGGTTTCCCGCTGCCGAGCCGCTCTGCGGCCGCGCGCCGCTTCTTCACACCGGCGGGTATTAACACGGACTGCGATTCTCTTTACTATCTCCTATGCATAGTACTTCGTCGTTGAGGAAAGGCAACCTCCTTTGTGGTAAAATCACTTTCTGTTGTTAATAATGTGCAGTTGGCTATGTTTAGGCATCATACGCTTTATTGTATAATAGTAGTAAATATTTATTTATTATAATATTTATTTGAAAACCTCGCATGTTGCTCTTACTACACACGAGTGATTCTGTCAATAAATTGTAAATGTCATGTAAGAGAGTTTTTTCTTGTTTTTTTTTAAGACTACAATTTGTTATTTTCTCTGAAAAATTCTTATCACACTAAAAAACAAGCAAATTCTGAATCATTGATACCCAAATGTAAACATCGCCAATTCCGTTACATTTCCTTCATTAATGACGATGTAGTACAGATAACGAATTTTTATCGTTAAAACATGCAATCCCACGTTTCCGTACGTACATAGAGTTGAATCTATAAAGTGTTTTCTTACTTCTGTGGATTTTATCACTTTACTTCTGTATACTCAATTTTTTTCTGTACTTCTGCTTTTCTTGGAGAGGAGGGGGCAGTTATTGCTGGTTAAATGCGATTGCCCACTGAATACCTCAATTGAGGGGCTACTAGGCACTAGCACACTTATTTGCTGTTACTTCGGATATAGGGTTAGAAAAGCATGACGTATTTCGCGAAATAACATCCAGGAAAGTCAAACCATTCCCAGATATTCCATTTATTATTAAAAATAACAATAGTAGGAAGGTAACACACATGGGCATCTCGGATACAACATCACTCGAATGTCTGGCACTAACATTCATTCCCAGGGCGCTATTTAAGCCAAGGGCACTCGAACCACGACGATAAGTCAAAAGGCCACCTGGCCCCTCTAACCAACTTCCACAGCATCGTTCTCTCCACCATCTCATCCACTCCCGCCACCATCATTTTCACCCTCGTTTTATCTCGTCCAAATAGTACTTTTCTGGCTGATCCTGGTGCTGTCATGAGCTAAGACGAAAAGCGTCTTGAGGTAAATGTGTGTGTGTGTGTGTGTGTGTGTGTGGCAGGAGGAGGGGGAGGGTTGTGTGCGTGTGTCAGTGCCGGCGGGGCGGGGTCAAGGTCGCGAGTAGCTTGGCGCGGCGCAATCAGCGATTAATGGGGCTGCTGCTGTTGGTATTGCGCCCACGCCGCGTATTACGGGCGCCGCTGCAGGCGTTCGCTGGCAATTACACAGCACGCGCCCCAGAGAGAAGATAGAAGAGAGGATTTATCCGTTCGGTTTGCCCCTACCCATCCGCCTCCCTAGTTTGTAAGTTATCTTTTTCTTTATCCACGTGTGCTCTACCGTAGTCGGATGGAGAGAAATATATCGTTGTCTAGCGAAAACGAAAGCTGTAGCCTGAAGGCCTGGAAACTAGTTGAACCGCCCAGAAGAAAAAATTTCCACCACGCAGATGATGACGTCATAGGTGCGCGCGCACACAACACCTATGGTAGTCTTCTCCTCACGTTAACCAAGGTTAATGTGTTCTTTCCTTGTTGACATTTCCGATGCTCTTCGATGCGATTGTGTTACAGTAATGGGTGTCAG